GAGGATCGCCCAATGATGGAGAAATGGCTGAGATCTACATAAGCAACCTGGACATGAGTGGGAGCAATGAAGAGTGAGGGTCGAGGGAAAGAGAGTGGGAGATCCCAGCTGGATCAAGAACAGAGAGGGAGAACAAGAAATAGGAGACCATGGTAAATGAAGACCACACAAGAAGAAGAAGAAACAAAGTGCTAAAGAGGCCCACAGAAATCCACAGAGATACCCCACAAAAGACTAATGTTGAGACTCTTAACTCATCAAAATGGAAAATAATTGACTGTGAGTGCTCAATAATTGATGCAATATCCATATCACCCCACTACCCAAAGTTCAGGAAACATAACAGAACAGGGAATAGAAAGAATGTAAAAGCTAGAGGATCTGGAGGAGTGCTCTGAAATTGTCCTCTGTGAATCTTGCCCTCTGCGTTTGACTTGGTTGTTGTGCAAATGAACTCATATCATCAGTGATTGCCTATAGAAAAACTATATGAGATCAAGCCCATTAATATTTCAGCATGGATAGGGCATGTCCTGAGATCCCATCTTGGCTGAGGAGCTATTGGCAATGGATGGCATCTGGATGAGTCAGGGTTTTTATTAATTTGGTTTATGTCCATGGTTAGGTTTCCCATGCTTTTGTGGATGGAACAACACTCATGCCGAAATGAGTACCACAAATTATCCTGAGTGGGTTTTGTTTTTTAAAAAGGCTTGAAGTTGTGATGTAGCTGTGTTAGGGCACCTATGGTGTGTTGGATGGGTACTGGCAAGTGTAGTAGATCAAGATACATTATATTTTTGAAATCTCCAAGGAATAAAAATATCATGTAAAACAAGCAAAAGCTTGAAAAGTAAATCAAGGACAGAAAATGACACTGGAAGCGCAATGATTGTCTAGTTGAAGCTCTAAAACCAGATATTTCAGGAATAATGAACCAATATTTAAAGACATTATATTTGAGTAATTCCCATTACACCTGAAGGATACCAGTTCTCATATCCATGACCTATTTACTCCAAGACTGAGTTTTTAAAAAATTCTTCAGAAACCAACTTGTAATGTCTTTTCATTATACCTATAGTTTAGTGCATCTCCCTACCATCATCAGAAATGTTTATCCATGGAATGAATGGTGATGAACACAGAGACTGACAACTGTAAAAGATGCACACATTAAAAGACTTTGGAGTGATGAGCACTAAATGGGACTTCTATAGAACAGGTTTTCCTCCCAAGGCTCAGTAGTCACTTTTTGATGCAGAAGGAATGTATTATAGAGGCAGAGGTAGTAGATGACTACACCAAAACAGTGTTTTCTGTATACCTCATGGCAATTGCACACACAAATGTACAACAGTTGTGACTCATGTACAAGATCTGTACAAACCTAGGCCAGACAAAATTCCTGCATGGAGGTGGAGTTTAGCCATGATCTCTGACCTCTGGTAAACTATTGACAGCTTCCTGAAAAGAGTCAGTTTTCTTCAAATATGTGGTCTCTAATGATTGACCAAACTCTACTGGATATTCACACACTCAAGAGTATGTAGGCATCATCAATTGGATTGGATGACTTTACAAATTGAAAGATGTCTGATCAGTTAAGACATTTGGGGCTCTTACAAATGATTTGGGTTAAATTCCCAGTATCCACATGATGGCTCATTATCTCAGCTACAGAAGATCTGATGCCATAGTCTGGATAATGCATGTATTGTGGTTCATATACATAAATGCAGGTAAAAGGCATCTATGTATAAATTAAAAATAAATCTTTAAAAATGGATAAACAAAACTGGGTGCTTCTAGAATGAGAGGAGGATATGGGGGAAATGGAAGAGGGGAATGAATTATGATAAAAACAATTTATGAAATTATTAAAGTTAAAAGATATAAAGACACTTCATGCAGAAACAGATCATAGAGATATTATGAACACTAAAGAACATTAGCCCTTCAAACAAAGGAAAGATGCACTGAAGATCAATTAAGAGAATGCCTTGTTTTGCCATTGTATACCTGGAGATCCAGATAAAATGCAAGGCCCTGGAAAGTTGTAGCTAATAAAATTATTTACAAAGATGTATTTTATTTTTTATATGTTTGTGTGTTTTTATGTGAGAAC